AGGGTGTCCGACAAGTAAGTGACCAAACGAAAGGTGGAAGTAGATTGGGTCAAACTGAGTCGAAAAGTCCTGAATCATTTTTTTTTATAACGCTTAATAAAGGAGTTATTGAGTAAAGTCTGATCAATCAGCGCCAACCTTTAGCCGGGCGCACGTCGGTCAGCCGTGCGCCGTGAAGTGTGCGCTGCCGCATACTACCAGGCGCGCGGCTCACCGACGTGCGCCCGGCTAAAGATCGGCGCTGATTGGCCAGACTTAACTCAATAATAACTCCTTTATTAAGCGTTATAAAAAAATATGATAGAGGACTTTTCGACTCAGTTTGGTCCGCTCTATCTGCACACGAGTATTGTCCCCAATGATCTGGGACACCCTGTATATATATAACAATATATATATACAGGGTGAGTTTTTCAACTTGAAACTGCGAAATATCTCGGAACATTTTATATATATATATACATCAAATTTTGAGACAATTTTTCCTTTTACAAAATTTTGTCCAAAGCTTAGTTTTTAAGTTATAATTGAAAATAGTTAGCTACTTACGAGTTCGGTACGGACAGGCAAGGACGGCGCAATGCGTCATAAGACTCACGTCACAATTTCACAATAAATATCACTGGAAACATTACTTTTCTTACTGTAATACTTTATTATCAATCGCAAATATCAACTTCCACACAAATTCCCACAAAATCCCACGATAAATGATATTATAGAAATGTGAAATGAGTCTCGTGACGCATTGCGCCGTCCCTGTCTGCCCGTTATGCCGGATTCGTAAATAGATAACTATTTTCAATTACATAGTTCAACAAAAAAAACACAACGGAACGGGACTACCTGTTTCTTATAGGTTTTTGGACGCTGAACACGAATCCGGTTGTGAAATTGCTCCATCACGTCAGAATTTCGAGAAATTTGCAATTAAAGTTGCAAAAAAGGGCTATTTTCACGAACTTTGTCATATTATAGCTACAATATGTGACGTGCTGGAGAAGTTTTATTACAATTAAAATAAAGTATGTTGTTAGAACTTTCAACCCTCAAAAAGAATTTTTGGTGTCGGTTATAGTTAATAAGATATCCAATTAAAATCCACCATTTTGAATTTGACAATTTTGACATTGGATTCGTATTCAGCAACCTAAAAAACTCTTAAGTTTAAGTAGTAATTAAAAGCTATTTAGTAAATCGTCAATGACCTAAGTCACAGCTAACTTCTGCAATACAGCCCATATTTAACCATGGATATGGATACTTAAGTTTAAGACAAAAATATTCCAGACAAAAGATGTTTGGTATTGAGAGAATCATCTGATAGTGATCTTCATTTAACCTTGGATTAAAGTCCAGAAGGTTATTTCAAACAGTCAACTTTATTTTTTTTAATAAAACTCCCTATTAAACACAATACACAAGTGTCTAAAGGACACAAATAGCATTTTACCAAAAGTCTATGGATTATTAAAAATTAATAAAATGATTAAATAAAATACTAATTGTTAATAATATATTAATTAAATGTAATATGCAGGATGATTCAAAACAACCTGATGTCCTTGAAATGTCATATTCTTGAACAAATTCTGAAACGATTTTTCCTTTTACAAAATTTTGTCCAAAGCTTAGTTTTTAAGTTATAATTGAAAATAGTTAGCTACTTACGAGTTCGGTACGGACAGGCAAGGACGGCGCAATGCGTCATAAGACTCACGTCACAATTTCACAATAAATATCACTGGAAACATTACTTTTCTTACTGTAATACTTTATTATCAATCGCAAATATCAACTTCCACACAAATTCCCACAAAATCCCACGATAAATGATATTATAGAAATGTGAAATGAGTCTCGTGACGCATTGCGCCGTCCCTGTCTGCCCGTTATGCCGGATTCGTAAATAGATAACTATTTTCAATTACATAGTTCAACAAAAAAAACACAACGGAACGGGACTACCTGTTTCTTATAGGTTTTTGGACGCTGAACACGAATCCGGTTGTGAAATTGCTCCATCACGTCAGAATTTCGAGAAATTTGCAATTAAAGTTGCAAAAAAGGGCTATTTTCACGAACTTTGTCATATTATAGCTACAATATGTGACGTGCTGGAGAAGTTTTATTACAATTAAAATAAAGTATGTTGTTAGAACTTTCAACCCTCAAAAAGAATTTTTGGTGTCGGTTATAGTTAATAAGATATCCAATTAAAATCCACCATTTTGAATTTGACAATTTTGACATTGGATTCGTATTCAGCAACCTAAAAAACTCTTAAGTTTAAGTAGTAATTAAAAGCTATTTAGTAAATCGTCAATGACCTAAGTCACAGCTAACTTCTGCAATACAGCCCATATTTAACCATGGATATGGATACTTAAGTTTAAGACAAAAATATTCCAGACAAAAGATGTTTGGTATTGAGAGAATCATCTGATAGTGATCTTCATTTAACCTTGGATTAAAGTCCAGAAGGTTATTTCAAACAGTCAACTTTATTTTTTTTAATAAAACTCCCTATTTTTTATTGTATATTCTTATAACCCTTCTTGAGATTTTTTCAAAATACTATAAGATAGTATTTTTTTCATTAAATATTTTTCGAGTTATTTTATATCTTAATCTGATATATTTTGATATAAAAAATAAAATATTTCATAAAATATTTAATTTTCGATAATCTTACTGTATTACTTTTATGTACAGGATAATAAGAAAAATCAATTAGTGTAAAAAAAAAAAAAATTGTTAAAAAAAAATACATTGTAAATCA